TTCCTTCCTTCCTTCCTTCCTTCCTTCCTTCCTTCCTTCCTTCCTTCTCCATCCCTGAAGGTTTTTAAGAAGAGACTGGACAGCCATTTGTCTGAAATGCTACAGGGTTTCCTGCCTGAGCAGGAGGTTGGACTAGATGATCTCCAAGATCCCTTCCAGCTCTGTTATTCTGTATTCTAACCAACAGAAGAGCACAGTAAATAACTTAACTTAGCTCACATACACAAAATTTTATTCAACCATTGTGTAGGTGTGAAAAACTACTCATGGTACGACAGTCAAGGTTTATTTCTTGTTTATTTCCCTCCTCCTCCTCCTCCTCCTCCTCCTCCTCCTCCTCCTCCTCCTCCTCCTCCTCCTCCTCCTCCTCTTAACCCAGGGAGTTTTCTAACGTGAGCTGTGGAGGTTGTAACCTACCAGCCTCCCTTGCTGAGATAATGTAAGTTATTATGTCTTCTTTCTGCCTGTTCCCTGTTTTGTAATTATTATTTTTTTAACAAGCGGAAAGCATTCAGAAGGGAAGGAACGCTGATTTATTTCGAAGGGGTGAGGAAATGGCTCACCCAAGCTGCCATTCATAGGCGATGATTTATATATATATCAGTCTTTCTGAACTGCTGCAGGGTTTTGCTAAATCCTCAGTTCTCTGCAGGGCGACCACCTATCCTCACTCCAGAAGCGGTTTCCAAAAGCAAGCATTTTGGGGGTTATGGGTGGGTGCATGCATTTACAAACAAAACAAAACAAAACATTGCAAGATTCAAGTTAATTGAGATTCCAGAAGTATCTGCGAGAAGAGGAATGGAATTTCATCCAGAACTAATCCAATTTTTTTTTTTAAAAAAATCACTACTCTAAATTGATATGTGACATAAATCAAATGTAAAATAATTGTAATAATATTTAGTAATATTCATATTCTAGGGAATATTCACTAGTCTAGTGAAGAGAAGGACCAGGGGAGACAGGATAGCAGTCTTTCAATATTTGAGGGGCTGCCACAGGGAGGAAGGGGGTCAAGCTATTTTCTAAAGCGCCTGTAGGCCAGAGAAGGAACAATGGATGGAAACTGAACAAGGAGAATATTCAACGTGGAAATAAGGAGAAACTTTCTGACAGTGAAAGCAATCAACCAAAGGAACAGAAGTTGCTGTCAGAAGTTGTGGGAGCTTCCTCACTTGAGACTTTCAAGAAGAGATTGGACTGCCATCTGTCAGAAATGGTGTGGGGTCTCCTGCTTGGGCAGGGGGTTGGACTAGATGGCTTATAAGATCCCTTCCAACTCTGATTATCTGTTATGTAATTCATAAAATTCTGGAATGTGCAGAGATGGATAGACACACAATGAAATTAAATGATAAAGAAGACTCAAAATATTACTCAGTCTGGAACATTTGGTATCAATAGGTAGACAGTAAAACATGAAAAATGTAGGTCAAAAGAGGAAAGAAAATTGGCATATTGGTAGGACCTACGAGAAGCTGTTGAAATTGAGAAACTGCCAGAAAATGGAGATTTATGTAAGTATTCATATTTAATTTATAATATTTATGTAGCTATACTTACATTGTATACTTTAATATGTATAACTTAACTCCTCTTATGGCTATGGAAAATAGAGCACAGTATATAGACTATAATTATATAGATTTATCTCTGATTTTTTTTAGAAATATATATATATGTACTTAGTGTTAATGTGATATTCTTTTTGTTTTTTGAATCATCGACCTATATACATGAATCACTTTTTAATTAATATTAATAAAGCACTGTGAATTAGTATTACTACTTCTATGAATAACTGCCAAGTATTAATTGTATGTATTGTATTTACTGTACTGCCAAGAAAATGATATTGAAAGTTATTGACACATCTTCTATTATAGAAAGTTTTGTAAACTTTTTCATATTTTGAATTTCAATAAAGAATTTTTTTTGAATTAAAAAAAAATATTTAGCAATATTCTATATACTCAAAGAATATGTCAAAGTGAGTGAACACTACTACAAATATGCTGCAATGAACGGAAATATGTTTTTAATTGTTTTTTAATTGTAGAATTTGTTTAATAAAGTTTCTTAAAATATTGAAAAAATGGATATGGAAATTACTTTTCTTTTGCTTACGTAAAAATATCCCCTGATTTGTGTAGACTTGGGCTGATTTCCATCCACCTGGAGCCCAAGTTATTTGAAGGACCATATTTTCCATGTTAGATCCATTCAACCCACCCGGAGCGGGGGGGGGGAGGTTAAAGGCCCCCCTCTCCTAAGGAGTCCCAAAGGTGCTTTTTCCAGAGGCAACTGGACCTTCTTGGGTGCCAATCTTATCTCCATTGGGTTGATGTTCCACAGGATGGGAGCCACCAGAAAGAAGGTCCTTCTTCTTGGCCCCGCTAGATGGACCTGCTTAAGAGAGGGGACCCATAACATCTACTACCTCTCCAATCTGGTGAATTGTGGGGATGTAACTGAGAAAAGAGGGTGCTTCAAATGACAAGGAGGGAGCCATCTCAGAGAAGAGCCGCCTTCTCCGTCCTACTAGATGGAGCTCCTTAAGATTCTCAGTCATCCAGGCCACAGTTGTCCCAAAGATGCTTCTTCTTCTTTTTAGAATAGAATAGAAGATAGAATAAGGAATGAGTAGAATAGAATAGAATAGAATAGAATAGAATAGAATAGAATAGAATAGAATAGAATAGAATAAAGGAAAGAATAGAATAAGGAAAGAATAGAAGAGTAAAAAGTAAAAAAGGATAAAGTCATTGAACAAAAGTTTCACTTAGTACAGAAATTTGGGGCTCAATTGTAGTCATAAGTCGAGAACTATCTGTACGTCCGGATACGCATGAAAATTTCGGAGTTCTTTGCTGTCTTTATTTTATCTATCTATCCAAAAGTAAAATGCCCCTCACGCATCATCACAAAATCTCCAGAACCGTAAAGCCTACAAACTTGAAATTTGGCACATCTGTTCCTCTTGGCTTCTAGGTGCTCACTAAGAAAGGATTTTTCAAAATGACCATCAGAGCATTTAGAGTATTTCCTATGTTGTTGTTGTTGTTGTTGTTGTTATTATTATTATTATTATTATTATTATTATTATTATTAACACGCTCTGATGCTAAGGAGTTCTACTCCCCCTCCCCACCTGGAAAGAAATCTCTTCCAAATGCAAAACACAAGCAGAGGAGAGGAGGTTCAGTTTTAGTTTCACAGCACCAAGCAGCTTTAGGACAGAACAGTTGAGCTAAGCCACGCCCAGGCTCCGTGCTGTCTCCTTGCTCGCACAGCAAATACTGTTTCAGTTTCCAAACAGCCCTCAACTCTCTCAGACACTGGCAGGATGCTAGCCAGATGAATACCGATGGATGCTGGTAAGCTAAGGCAGCATTTTTCCCCCCTTATTTTCCTCCCCCCAAACTAAGCCCAACCACATAGTTTTGTAGGCAAATCATGGGTATCGAGCTAGTATGAAGAAGAAACGCTCCACAGTTTTTCCCACAAGTTCCTACTCTGGGATCCAATCAAGAGCAATTTTATTCCCATTTCTCTTGGGCATCGGTTTACTATGGCTTGGCTCATTTCCCCGAGAGTTCCCCAACATTTTTGGCTGCTACCCAAAATATATCATATTTTGAGGATTAAAAAAAAAATGAGAACAAATTGCAGGTTTGAAACCAAAGTAGTTACTTTTGTTCCAAGATGCACTGATTCAGCAGAAAAACAAAATTACAGTAAACCTTTTTTTGGAAATGTACAAAAAAATACTGAGATCAGCAGATCTGTGGATTTATTTTTTTTTAAATCCCTAGAAAATGGACTCATTCATTGAAAAAAAAAGGGTATTTCTTTCACTGGGGTTATTTCTGGTAACCTTGAAGAGACTTAATTTCAGGATGAAAGCCATTTTACAATAAAGCTGAAAAACTTGTTCTGGAAAACATTCTAGATTGCATGAAAAACATTTTAAAGGCAATCAGATCATTGCGTATCTGTTTGGATGCTTTATACATTGATTATTGATTGATTAGTTTTGCACGCCTATTATTTCTGATCAGAACTGATTGCAACATCCAGGATGCCAGCATAGTACGGACAGAAGAAATAATCAACCCTCTACCATAATGTATAAAATACTGGAATATTTTATATAGCCTTGCTTACATGTTCACTCTTTAAAACAGAAATACCTGGGGGGCAAAGAGGACTTTCCTAAGAGCTCACCAACTTTC